AAATTTTACAATTTTTATGGTTTTTAATTTATTTTAATTATTTAAAAGCTCAAAAGTAGCTAAAAAATGAAGTATTTATTTTAATTCAGATTTTATTTTTCTCAGGTTCCTCTAGTCATAAGAAACTCTGAAAACCAATTTTTGTAATTTTTTGAGTTGTAATTTAATTACTATAAATATTTTAATGTCAAAAATGTGATTTCACTTGATTAATCCTTTGGAATGATCAAATTAATTCCAATTGACTTGAAATTTTTGATGGACAGCTCCTCTTACATTAAATTATAGTGGAGAATGATTTTCATGTTATTTACATTTATAATTACTCTAAATTAACTTTATTTCATTTTTAGGGTTGGTGCAATTAAGTTTTTAAAATTTTACAATTTTTATGGTTTTTAATTTATTTTTTCCTAGGGTCCTCTGACCATAGTGAACCTACCAAAATAAATTTTATATTTTTCTGATGAGTATTTTAATTTTATAATTAGTTTACCAAAATAGTCATGATACACTTGAAAAATAGAGATATTTGTTTAGAGATCTCCCCTGACCTTGGAAAAATCAGGGAAGATGCCTCATGATAGAGAGAATCAAAGCCCCAAAAAAAATGTCATGGTAAAATGTATATGCAAATGGAGAATCAAAAGAAGGAAAACACCATTTAATTATATAAAAATTATACATGTGTTAAATGGACATAAAAATATTTCCACATTGTTCTCCTCTGTTCATTAAGCAAGAGAGTATTTTTATTTTATTTTTATAATTTTTCTACACCAAGATATGAATTTTTGAAGTTCTGGCTATTAATTAAATCAATTAAATCTCTATTTTTCTACTTAGGCGCCACCTCATCCTAGGCAACTCCGAGCTCCACACGGCGTCTTTTGGTTCGGCATCGCCTTCTGACTCAGCCGCTACGCGTCTTGCTGTTCCGCTCCATTCCCTCATCCGACTTCATCCCAACCGTCTGTCTGATACACGTGGAAATAGACAACATCTGTTCATCATCTCCAAGTCTCTAGCCCGAGAACCGTTCAACTTCAAACCCTGTATCTCTCTCGATACTTAACCAAATTAAGTGTGGTTTGTTCCTATGAACTCGTCTTGACTAGGAGAACATATCCATGCAGTTAATCAAGTCTTAAATCAACTCTATAATCATGAAGAATTAAATGAAACTCGGTTTAAGGGGAGATTTCAATACATTTGCCCAATAGGTGTGGCCTCGATTGGGTGCTTCCAAAAGCTTTTCAATACATTTGCCCAAGAGGTGTGGTCGATTTGTGGTGTTGAACAAAGTCTACCCTAGGGTGCTCTGGTGATGGGGCTTCTATGGTGGATCTTTGTCTCTCACTATGGGGATGGTGTGGGTGCAATTAATTTGTATTTGATGAAGTTTTAGGGGGTGTCCTGTTTTGGGCTTGAATTTGAGCTCCAAAATTGAGCTCGAGCAGTGGACTTTAGTGGCTAATAATGGTTCGGTTGAACTGAAGAGGTCTTAAGGATGCTCTGGAAGAAATTTGATAGATTCTCCTTAAGGAATTTCAAGCTTTCATTATTTAGCCATGGAGGGTGGGTTTAAATAGAGGGGGAGGAGAGGCCACCAGGGGCAATTGGTGAGTGCTCTAAGTTGCTTATGTGGATGCCAACAACAACAACAAAGCCTTAATCCAACTACGTGGGGTCAGCTACATGAATCCTTTTTCTCCATTGTGTCCTATTTAGTGTCATATTTTCATTTAGTTCCAGTAAATTAAGATCATTTTTAATACAATAAGCCCAAGTCTTCCTAGGTCTACCTCTTCCTTTCTCAACACAAGTCCAATCTAAAACATCTACTCTCCTAATCAGATCATTAAATGGTCGACGTATATAATCATTTCGCATTTTGTCTCTAAGTATAAAGCCACTCATCCACCTAATCATTCTCATCTCGGCAACACTTAACTTAGTATTATGCTTCTCTTTTAAAGGCCAACATTCAGCGCCATAAAGCATTGCAGGTCTCACCACCGTCTTATAAAATTTTCCTTCCAGTCTAAGCAGTCATTTTCTATCACACAAATGACAACCAATCAACTTGAATTCTACTATTAACATCCCCATCTATTTCACCATCGCTTTGAACAACAGACCCGAGACATCTAAATCGTTCACCTCTTTTAATAATTTGATCACCCAAAGTTACACTTTTGTCACTAGAGCTACTGCTGCTAAAATTACATTCCATGTATTCAGTTTTAGTTCTACTCAAATGAAGGCCTTTACACTCCAATGTAGACCTCCATAATTCAAGTTTTTCCTGGGTTGTTTCTCTCTTCTTATCCATGAGAAAGATATCATTAGCAAAAAGCATACACCAAGGTAAATCCTCCTGTAAATGTCAAGTAAGACCATCCATAACTAAAGCAAAAAGAAATGGGCTTAAAGTCAATCCCTGATTTAATCCAACAGAAATAGGAAAATATTTGGTCAATCCTCCTTCAGTACGAACACAAGTAACAATTCTAATATACATATCTTTAATGATTTGAATATCAGTC